TATAAAGGCAAACAAACGGTTGCTTAACTTCACATTTTTTCATTTTTTTTATTACCAAGTACTAAGCAAGCTCTCTCTCTCTCTCTCTCTCTCTCTCTTTCTTTCTCTCTCTCCCTCCCTCCGATAATGCTTTTGTCGACAGAGCGAAGGGGTGGGGAAGAGGAACGACTTGTGATTTCTTCTTGGCCTCTTCCCATGGAGAAGTTACTTTCAAGTCAGCGAAAGTCCTTAGCCTATGATTAAAAGTCTTTGCCAATTAGCGCTCGACAACTCCTATTCATCCCCTCCCGGTTCAAGATGAGTAGGAGACTAATAAGGCCGTGTGATAAAAGGGCAAAAGGCACCGAGACAGCCAAAAAAAGGTCTTAATGAGCCCTCCTTCGTTTATTTGTCCCCCTAACAGCTGAACTGTTGCGTCCATTGATGCTGTTCAAAAGGCCGTGCTCTGAGCCCGGCAGGCTCCAGTGGGCATCTTCAAACCGCCGGAGAAAGGGAGCGCAGGATTGTCTCCCTTGGTGTCACGCCAAGACCAATAAAGCCCTGGCCGATCAGTCAACGAAACTCCAGCCCCCACCATTAGCACCACTGCCACCACCCTCTCCCAGCCCGCCCCCCTCCCCTCTCATCCATCACCCTTTGAGATTTATTTCCTGGCCGCGGCGGACAAGGAGGCAGATGGAGGGTTCGGGGATTGTGCAGTAGTCAAGACCTCGTCAACGGCTGTCACAGGAACCCTTGTTGCAGAGCAAACTCGGTGACGGGCACCTCTTGGTCTCAAGGAAAAAAGAGCTCCCCATCCCATCATACAAACCCAACTCCCTGCCCTCCACGGCTTATGACATCACAAAGGACACTCGAAAACAGGGGCCCGCAATGGCATCCTGTAGCACTTTTAAAAGAGAATTAGTGGTTTTAATTATGGCCGTCGTCTGAAAGGGAGCCCAGTGGAGTTCACCAGGAGGCCTTTTTGATCAAGGACCTTGGCTAGAACAATGGTGCGGAACTGTGACTATTCCTCGTATGGAGAAATAGTCGGGGTGGGGTGGGGGGGTGGAGGCTCTCCCCCCCTCCGCCCCTGAATAGCTCGCCAGTGATCTTTGAATGCCAAGCGAGCTCCTAAAACCTTCCCTCTTCATTAAGCGGACATTTCTATACAGGGGCCTGTGTAAGTGCTCTGGAGTCTAGCAGCTACACAATTGGAGCAGGGTGCAGGGGGGCCGAGAATCCCTACAGATTCTGGCTACTACTTACCCAAGTGCTGAAGGGCCCTGAGTGACTTAATTCATTAAAACAGGTTGCTATTAATTAACTGTCATAATCAAATAAAGAGCCATTATTTGCATTTCTTAACGCCGTTTTTAGTCCGCAAGCGAGGAGGCGGTGCGTGGAGTGGGGAGGGATTCTTTTAACACAAAAAATATATATTAAGGGGGGGGGGTTAAAAAAACCCCAGCACACGCACACAAGAGAGAGGAAAAAAGAGGGTGAAAAGAAAAACACTCTCCCCCTGCCCGTTTTCCACAAATGCTCCCTTTCAACACGTAAGCAGCAGGACCGGCAGCTAATTACAAGGACGAGATCGGCAAAAGGAACAAACAGGGGAGGCAAAACTCAAATAGGAAAGTAATTAGGAAAATGCAGAAATGTGTTTACTTGGCAACCGGTTTGTGCAACTGAGACGAAGGGAACAAGGACGGCCCCTGGTTGTTTGAGAAACTCGGGGAGGCCGGTGGCCCCAGGAGGACTGCCGGAATTAAACTTCTGCCCGTTGGCTTCGTTCGAGCACCGCGGCCGCTGCAAGGAATGAGGAGGCCTCACTCTGGACCTGCTGGGTGGATGTTTGGTGGCAAGCCGGTCTTTGCTTTCCAGAGGGCAACCAGGGTCAGGCAATCGGTTCAGTAATGAAATAAGGGTTGGGGTTACTGGGAGACTCACGCACTTGGTGACATTCTACAGGGAACCAGACAGAGGGCCTTCTCGGTAGTGGCACCTGCCTTGCAGAACACCCTCCTGTCAGATGTCAAACGGATAAACAACTACAGTCGTACCTCAGGTTACAGATGCTTCAGGTTACAGACTCCGCTAACCCAGAAATATTACCTCAGGTTAAGAACTTTGCTTCAGGATGAGAACAGAAATCATGCTCTGGCGGCGCGGCGGCAGCAGGAGGCCCCATTAGCTAAAGTGGTGCTTCAGGTTAAGAACAATTTCAGGTTAAGAACGGGCCTCACAGAACGAATTAAGTACTTAACCTGAGGTACCACTGTATTTTACTTTTAGGAGACATCTGAAGGTAGCCCTGTTCAGGGAAGTTTTTAATGGCTGATGTTTTAGTATGGTTTTAATATTTTGTTGGGAGCTACCCAGAGTGACTGGGGCAACCCAGCCAGAAAAGGGGGGGCATATTATTATTACTATTATTATTATTATTATTATTAACCCTGTTTCAAGAGACTGTGGCCCTTTCCCCTTTCTCATCAGCTCCAGCATGCAAGGGCAACAGGCAGGGACAAAGATGGCGGTCTTTCCTCCTTTGTTCGCTGCTATGGATAAACAAGTTGCAGGCACTGCAACTGTCTACAAGAGATTCCCACACAGCCCATTCACTCTCAGCAATTTTGCAGCAGCAAGAGGATGCTACAAAACAGGCAGGAAAACAGGGTAATTTATCTGTTTATTTGATGAACGATCGTGCACCCACAGGTTAAGAAAAACACCTCAGAGCAGCTAATTCAACGAAAAACGATAACAAAATTGAAATATACACATAAAAAAGCAAATGTAGAGGAGCATTAGAAAATTGCCCTTCCAAGAGAATGAGGGAGGTGTTCACAGTGAGATCCAGCACCTCTTTTTCTGGAAAAATAGCACCGGGTTCAACTAATTCGAGTTTTTGTCTCCATCCTCCTCCCTGCTGAGTTCCACAAGGGCAACTCTGAGATTAAGGAGGAGGAAGCTAACAGGCACTGGAGATGGATGTAAGAGACAGATCAGGCAGGTTGGGGATGTTTAAGCACCCTGAATTAGCCCACCCACCCAAAAGAGATGGGGACAGCTGTCTTAAAACAGCCGAAATGCACCCAGTCCCAGTTAGCAACCTAGCGGGTGCGTTTTGTACTAACCACGGTTTCTAAACTCAACGACAGCTCCACATTCAGTGCATTATGAGCATATGAAGCTGCCTTCTACACAGTTAGATTATTTGTTCATCTAGCCCAGTATTGCCTTCTCTGGCTGGCAGTAGGATAAGGATAATGAATTTTGTATTGATGGTGAGTAATCCTGATTAAGACCGAATGCCAGAATTCAGAGGAAGATATAAGCTGCTTTATACCATACCAATGGTCCATCTAGTTCAGTATTGTCTGCACTGATTGGCAGCTCTCCAGGGTTTCAGGCAGGGGGCATTCCCAGCCCAACCGACAGATGCTGGGGATTAAACCCGGGGCCCTTTGCATGCAAAGTGGACGCTCAACCGCTTGATTTATGGTCCCACCCCTTTGGATAATTACAACAATTCTGGGATGCCATCAGAAAATTTGCAACTTTTGTTCGGAGGCTGCAAATGGTGCACGGAAAGGAGCGCTGTGCCGATGAGCCTGCTGGGCTCTCCAAATAACGGGCTGGATTTAGTAGCCCGCAAGAGACTCCGTTGAAAGTTCCCATCGACTCGTTTGCAGGGGACTTATTGGGCAATGAGCACGGCCCCTCCGATTGCTCCCAATCTGGCTGTGGGGTGTTGGCACATCTTCCCGTCAAGTCTCTCCTTCACTTCAATTCTCAATGCATTTTCCTGTTGCTTTTCTGACTGCAAAAAGGCTGTTCCTTTCTGAAAGTGGATTTGTTGCACTTGGGCCACAGAACACTTCCACCCGTTTTAAACGCATGCCCTTTAATTTGTGCACAAACTACTGAGAGCATTGGACGACTAAAGGTTTCAATAAGGTAAAGGTAAAGGGACCCCTGACCATTAGATCCAGTCGTGGTCGACTCTGGGGTGGCAGCGCTCATCTCGCTTTATTGGCCGAGGGAGCTGGCGTACAGCTTCCGGGTCATGTGGCCATCAGGACTAAGCCGTTTCTGGCGAACCAGAGCAGTGCACAGAAACGCCGTTTATCTTCCCACCGAAGTGGTACCTATTTATCTACTTGCACTTTGACGTGCTTTCGAACTGCTAGGTGGGCAGGAGCAGGGACCGAGCAACGGAAGCTCACCCCGTGGCAGGGATTCAAACCGCTGACCTTCTGATTGGCAAGCCCTAGGCTCTGTGGTTTAACCCACAGCGCCACCAGTACTACTGGCAAAAAGAGAAATGCTTCTCTGTTGCTTTCCCAGCTTGCACATTGTTTTTGTTTGTTTGTTTGATGCCATTTCATAAAGCCTCTATCATTTCACCCCTTCCTTAGATTCTCCCCCAGTGCCAGATTTATGTATAAGCCAGCAGTTCGAAAGCACGTCAAAGTGCAAGCAGATAAATAGGTACTGCTCCAGCGGGAAGGTAAACAGCGTTTCCATGCGCTGCTCTGGTTCCACATGACCCGGAAGCTGTACGCCGGCTCCCTCGGCCAATAAAGCGAGATGAGCGCTGCAACCCCAGAGTCGTCCGCGACTGGACCTAATGGTCAGGGGTCCCTTTACCTACAAACAAGCTATAGCTTAGGGCCCCACTCTTTTGGGGGCCCCAAAAAAAATTCAAAGGGGAAAAAACTGGATGTACATTTCCAAAATATAAGATAAAAAAACCAATAAAATAAAACCTACATACAGCAACAGTGCTTTGTGTTGTGTAAGCTCCTGTGATGTAAGTCATGGCCCCGCCTGCTAGCCTGCTCCCTAAAATATCACTGGTTTGCCCATTTCTGTATCAATTACTTTGATAAAACACATATTTTGTTATGTGCAAATGGCTTTAGATACCTATTAGGTCCATCAATTACCATATAGCATATATTCAACATAAAAAACAGCGACCATTTGTTGTTGACAAAGGACAGCTGGACATATAAAGGGCCCCATTACCTTCAGTAGCTTAGGGCCTCATCAATCCTAAATCCGGCCCTTCTCTCTCCCCATTTTTTTTAAGCAACCAAGAGCTTGGCTTCACTTCCACCCATAGACTGTTCAGCTTACATTATCTTCTTATATTTCATTATTTCCCCAAGAGTTATTTTCTATGTGTTGTCCACAGCTCCTTCACTTTGTGCCTTGCTGAAAAGTCTCCCCACCCTTCTTCATTTCTCTCAACCCCTGAAGTTCCTTCTTCAGGTGTTTCACAGCTTGCAAAATGCTGCCCTGCTGGGGCTCGTCTTCCGCTTTCTCCGTGTAAAGGAGGAAGTGCTTGATGGCTTCTGACAACAGCAGTTCCGGGTCTTCCCTTCCCGGCTGAAGGTGCAACATCCTCTCGCAGGCAATCGCGTAGTTCTTGTGCCAGTTGACCGGGTGCACGTTGTGGGTGCTGACGATCTCCTTGTATAGCTAGGGACAACGGGGGAGTACTCAGTTTTGAAGGCTCTTCCGAACAGGGTGGATTGATTTAAACCAAATTGATTTAAATCACGATTTAAATCACTAGTCAAAACCAGATGAAGGTTTCATTTTGGGAATAATAAATTTTCAGAGTAGTTTTTACAGTTACAGTGGTACCTCTGGTTACGTACTTACCGTAATTCGTTCCGGAGGTCCGTTCTTAACCTGAAACTGTTCTTAACCTGAGGTACCACTTTAGCTAATGGGGCCTCCTGCTGCTGCCGCGCCACAGGAACACGATTTCTGTTCTCATCCTGAAGCAAAGTTATTAACCCGAGGTACTATTTCTGGGTTAGCGGAGTCTGTAACCCAAGGTACCACTGTATATCAAAAATTACTGATTTGGTTATACTGTTAGAAATACATAGACCGATCATTATGAAATTATTGTGAGGTTTAGTAAGTTACCGTAGACAGTGGTACCTCGGGTTACATATGCTCCAGGTTTCACACTCCACTAACCCAGAAATAGTGCTTCAGGTTAAGAACTTTGCTTCAGGATGAGAACAGAAATTGGGCTCTGGTGGCGTGGTGGCAACAGCAGGAGGCCCCATTAGCTAAAGTGGCGCTTCAGGTTAAGAGCAGTTTCAGGTTAAGAACGGACCTCCGGAACGAATTAAGTACTTAACCCAAGGTACCACTGTATACCCGAGTATAAGCCGACTTTTTCAGCACATTTTTATGCTGAAAAAGCCCCCCCCCGGCTTATACTCAAGTGAGGCGGGCGACGGCTGCTGCGCTGAGCCCCCCCCCCCAACCGCGGCTCCTATGCCTGCTCTTGCGAGCGGAAGAGGCAGCAGCGGAGGGACAAGTGGCCCGAAAGGAGCCCTTTCTCCGAAAGGAGAATCCTGACAAGACAGAAGTACTGTTTTTGGGGGACGGGGGGCGGGCTGGTGTGGAGGACTCCCTGGTCCTGAATAGGGTAACTGTGCCCCTGAAGGACCAGGTGCGTAGCCTGGGAGTCATTTTGGACTCACAGCTGTCCATGGAGGCACAGGTCAATTCTGTGTCCAGGGCAGCTGTTTACCAGCTCCATCTGGTACGCAGGCTGAGACCCTCCCTGCCCGCGAACTGTCTTGCCAGAGTGGTGCATGCTCTAGTTATCTCCCGCTTGGACTACTGCAATGCGCTCTATGTGGGGCTACCTTTGAAGGTGACTCGGAAACTACAGCTAATCCAGAATGCGGCAGCTAGACTGGTGACTAGAAGTGGCCGCCGAGACCACATAACACCGGTCTTGAAAGACGTACATTGGCTCCCAGTATGTTTCCGAGTACAATTCAAAGTGCTGGTGTTGACCTTTAAAGCCCTAAACGGCCTCGGCCCAGTATACCTGAAGGAGCGTCTCCACCCCCATCGTTCTGCCTGGACGCTGAGGTCCAGCGCCGAGGGCCTTCTGGCGGTTCCCTCATTGCGAGAAGCAAAGCTACAGCGAACCAGGCAGAGGGCCTTTTCGGTAGTGGTGCCCACCCTGTGGAACGCCCTCCCATCAGATGTCAAAACGATAAACAACTACCTGACATTCAGAAGACATCTTAAGGCAGCCCTGTTCAGGGAAGTTTTTAATGTATGATATTTTAGTGTTTTTTGGTTTCTATGGAAGCCGCCCAGAGTGGCTGGGGAAACCCAGCCAGACGGGCGGGGTACAAATAATAAATTATTATTATTATTATTATTATTATTATTATTATTATTATTATTATTATTATTTCGGGCTGCTCCTTCTCTGCCTTTGCCGTTGGCAGCAGAGAAGGAACGAGCAGCCCAAAAGCCGCTGCCGCCACCACCCATAGCTGTCAACGTTTTCCTTTTTTTAAGGGAAATTCCCTTATTCTGAACAGGATTCCTCGCAAGAAAAGGGAAAAGTTGACAGCTATGCCACCACCAGGTTTGTGGTGTGGTGAACCGGCTTATACTCGAGTCAAAAAGTTTTCCCAGTTTTTTGTGCTAAAATTAGGTGCCTCGGCTTATATTCGGGTCGGCTTATTCTCAAGTATACACGGTAACTGTTTATATTTGGACAACTTTTCTGCGGCACTTTATTGGAAGGAGAAAAAGAATCATTTCCTTAATAACAATTTAAACAATTTATTTAACTAAAACAATAACATTATAGCATATGTATGCATGCTTGTTGACTACTGTGGTCAAACTTTTTTTTATAAAAAAAACTTAGACTGAGTTTTAACACGCATGAAAAACTTAAAACAAATTCTTATTTCCTGATGAATAGCCTTTGGACAATAATGTAACTTAAATAGAAAACTATCCTTAGAAATATTTTTCCTCCAAAAGCATTTTATTTTAAAAATCCGATTTAAATAAATAAAAAAAAGATTTAAATAGAAAAAATCTGATTTAAATAAAAAAACTTTTTAAAATTTATTTTTTTAAAAAAACACATGGATTTTTATCCACCCTGATTCCAAAACATTTGCAGAAAACCCGCAGAAATGTCGCATGTTCATACCATGCCCTCATTCTTCTCAAATTTTAAACTAACACTCACTTAGGTTTTTTTTTTAAAAGGTCATGCTTGATGCACCAAAAATCCATAAAAATAAGTTAAGTATTCGTTCAAAACTGCAGAAAAGTAGTACATGTTCAACAAACACACATTGTAAGACACAGCCCAATCTGATGCATATCTATGCAGAGGGAAGTCCCGCTGAATTCAATAGGACTTACTCCCAGGTAAGTGTGCACAGGATTGAAACCTCTGAGGTTTTGTGCCCACAGCTGACAAAGCCTCAGTCATTTTGGACTCACAGCTGTCCATGGAGGCACAGGTCAAATCTGTGTCCAGGGCAGCTGTTTACCAGCTCCATCTGGTACGTAGGCTGAGACCCTATCTGCCTGCAGACTGTCTCACCAGAGTGGTGCATGCTCTGGTTATCTCCCGCTTGGACTACTGCAATGCGCTCTACGTGGGGCTACCTTTGAAGGTGACCCGGAAACTACAACTAATCCAGAATGCGGCAGCTAGACTGGTGACTGGGAGCGGCCGCTGAGACCATATAACACCGGTCTTGAAAGACCTACATTGGCTCCCAGTACGTTTCCGAGCACAATTCAAAGTGTTGGTGCTGACCTTTAAAGCCCTAAACGGCCTCGGTCCAGTATATCTGAAGGAGCGTCTCCTCCCCCATCGTTCTGCCCGGATGCTGAGGTCCAGTTCCGAGGGCCTTCTGGCGGTTCCCTCACTGCGAAAGGCCAAGTTACAGGGAACCAGGCAGAGGGCCTTCTCGGTAGTGGCGGCCGCCATGTGGAACGCCCTCCCATCAGATGTCAAAGTGATAAACATCTACCTGACATTCAGAAGACATCTGAAGGCAGCCCTGCTCAGGGAAGTTTTTAATATGTGAAATTTTAGTGTATCTTTCATCTTTGTTGGAAGCCGCCCAGAGTGGCTGGGGAAACCCAAATAATAAATATATTATTATTATTATTATTATTATTATTATTATTATTATTATTATTGGCTGTGCTGCTGTGATGCCACAGGAAGACTGGTCCAGCAGAGCGAAAGGAAGGGAAAGGAGAGAGCTTTGGAAAGGAAGATGCTAGGGAAGGGAGCGAAGAATGGAAGTTTCCTTGGGGATCCAGGTCAGAAAGCAGGACAGCACTCCATCATACACACTAAGCCTTCCTCTCTGCTTCTTTAAGTTAAAGAATACAAGGTACCGACCTTGTAAGCGTATGTATAAAGCTGGGCTTTCACATCCGTAGACACACGAGCCGTTTCCGCTAGGTCAAAAATGAAGAAGGCTGTCTTCATCCTGCAAAAAGTGGAAGCTGTTAGGAGCTCAGCCTACACTCGAGTAGGACCCTGGCAGAGACACATGCCCGACTGGCATGTTCTCTCCCTCCTGGTCGATCGTTCGGGAGCTTCAAAAGCTTTCTTCAGTCCGAACATCACAGCAACCGATGCCAACCGACACTGGCACACTTAGGGATCCGCAGAGTTTGTGCATCATGCATAACAGACCTCAGCAACTCAGCATTTTGGCTAATCTACTTTATTTACCTATAAACACACACGGAGCACTGCAACATGGCTCCCTCTCTCTCTAGCATCAGACAGCAAAGGGAAAAAGAACAAAGGACAATAGTCCCACTTCACGGAACACAGTAACACAAACATCCTGTCTCCGTCACGTCCCACTCTGTGGAGTCGAAACATATACCGTCATGTGATAGACAACAATCCCATGACTGCAATCACGGAGCAGGAATTCTACCAGAAGCACATTACTGTCGGGGTTAAGAGTTCTTTAAATACCAGCTGGTGCCCCTGAACCAGGGTTGGCTGAGGACACGGAGCCAGAGAAACTATGCCAGAGGTGTGGTGCCCAAGATGGTGGCAGTAAAGAATAATAAAATTCTAGAGTTGGAAGGGAACTCCCAGGGTCATCTAGTCCAACCCGCTGCAATGCTGGAACCTCAACATGCAGGGGGCCCCATCCAATTTGAAACCGTACAGGACCCTGCTTAGCTTTGCAAACAGGCTAGCAGTTGTATTGCTGTATTATTGCTGGGTTGGGGCTAAGCAAAGGAGGCTTCCAAGCAGCTTTGCTCTACTTGACGGTGTGGGACTACAACTCCCATCATCCCTAGCTAGCAGGACCAGTGGTCAGGGATGATGGGAGTTGTAGTCCAAAAACAGCTGGAGACCCAAGGTTGAGAAACACTGCTTGAAAGGATTATTTGCATTCACAAAGGTTCACGCCGACACTATTTGCATCTGGCTGCAGGTCACCAAATGCTGCTTCCTTTATTTCTCCAATGCCTTCATTGTGCCACCTGCTTATTAATTACAGAATTGCAGAGTTGGAGGGGACCCCCAGGGTCATCTAGTCCAACCCCTGCATTACCGGAATCTCAGCAGGCGGTCCCCCCATCCAATTTGAAACCACACCGGACACTGCTTAGCTTTGCAAACGCGCAAGTAGTTTTACTGCTGCAGCTTGTGGCGCAATTATCACAGGAAGATAGGAAGTTGTCTTATGGCCAGACCATTGGCCCATCCAGCTCGGTATGGTCTACACTGATTGGCAGAAGCTCTCCAGAGTTTCAGGACAGGGGATCTGGAGATGCAGAGGATCGGAGCTGGAACCTTCTGTGTGCTGCACCACTGAGCCATGGCCCTCTCCTTAAGGGAAGCAACCTTACACTGTGTTGGCCATTGGTCAATCTAGCTCAGGATCACTGTCACTGATTGGTGGTTGTTCTTGGGGGGTTTCAGGAAGGGGCACTCTCAGCCCTACCTAGAGATGCTATCAGGGACTGAATCAAAGACCTTCTGCATTCAAAGCAGGGGCTCTGCCACTGAGCTATAGTGATTCTTCAACATCAACTTCGTCGGACCGGTCATGTTGTTCAGATCCCTGATTATCGTCTTCCAAAGCAACTACAGTCATACCTTGGGCTACAGACACTTCAGGTTGCGTTTTTTCAAGTTACGGACCCACCGAAACCCGGAAGTACCAGAATGGGTTACTTCCGGGTTTCGGGATCACGCATGTGCAGAAGCGCTAAATCACGCTTTGCGCATGTGCAGAAGCACCGAATCACAACCCGCGCATGCGCAGACACGCTGCTGCAGGTTGCGAATGCTGCGGGTTGCGAACGTGCATGCCGCACGGATCACATTCGCAACCTGCGCGTCCACTGTACTCTACTTAAAAATGGACTACTTGAAAACTACTTAAAAATGGAAAGCGTAATGTTGGTGGTCAACAAAAGAGGTTTAAAGACTCTCTCAAGGCAAATCTAAAAAAAATGTAGTATAAGCACCGACAACTGGGAAACACTGGCCTGCGAGTACTCCAACTGGAGAACAGCCTTTACCAAAGGTGTCATGGACTTTGAAGACGCTTGAACTCAGGGCTCAAGGTAGACGTGCTAAGAGGAAGGCACGCTTGGCAAACCCTCACCATGATCAACTCCCACCTGGAAACCTATGTCCCCACTGTGGAAGGGCGTGTGGATCCAGAATTGGCCTTCACAGTCACTTACGGAGTCACTGCTAAAACCCTGTTTTGGAAGACAATCTTACTCGGCTACAAGTGATCGCCAAAGAAGAAGACGTCGTTTCCCAAATGAAGGCCCATGTGGACACCATGCTGTCTCCCTTCCCTTTAGAACCCATTCAGAAGGGGAAATGTGGGGTGGGGTGGGGTTGGGGGGCCCTCACCTGGCTTGCCACATCTCTTCGTTTGCCACCAACTCCCATGAAGATGAATCCAACCTTTAAGAAGTGAACAACAGGAGCTGATTAACTGGCTCATCAGACATGAAAAGGTCACAGAGAGACTGAGAATATTAAACAGGGTCACACTGTACAAACACTGGAATTTGGCGCTCAAAGACATTCTGTGTCGGGGACAGCAGAATTCTGTGGGGCGCCTGAATCGTGGGATGTCAAACGCATTTGCACACAGTGTCTCATTCTGCAAAGCATTCTGGTTATGATGGAAGAGCAAAGAGCAGCACAAGACAAAAACAAACACCCCGCCCTCTAATTCTTATTTAGTTGCCACTCCAGCTCCCGAGATTTCAGCAAGCACAACCCATGTGCCCACAGGCACATCTTCACAATCAGAAGGACCAGAAGCTTGATTTTTAAAAACACCTTTAATATTTAATGTTTTGCGGATGTTGCTGGGCTACAGTTTCCATCACCCTTGACCAGTGGACCATGCTCACTGGGGCTGATGGGAATTGTAGTCCAAAGCTCCTGCGGAAGTCTGGTGCAACGTACCGTATTTTTCGCTCCATAAGACGCACATGACCACAAGACGCACCTAGTTTTAGGAGGAGGAAAGGGGGAAAGCCCCATTTTTGGGGGGCTCTGCTCACAGTTGTGCAGCTTCTTTTGCAAAGGGGGAAAGCCCCCCTTTTTGAGGATCAGCTCACAGTTGTTGAGCTTACTTTGCAAAGGGGAAAAATCCTGTTTTTATGGGGTTCAACTCACAGTTCTGCAACTTCTTTAGGAAAGGAAAGGGAGCCGTTTCTACAGTTTCCAGACAAATACAGTTCTACAGTTTCCAAACAGCCGTTTCTACAGTTTCCAGGGCCCTGCGGGACTTGACATCTTTCCGCAGGGCCTGCAAGACAGAGCTGTTCCACCAGGCCTTTGGCCAGGGCACAGCCTGACTCCCTCCCTCGGCAATCTTCGCGGAGCTCTGGCCCAATGGTTGCCAGTGGCTTGAATTAATTAATTTTATAATGAATGCTTTTAGAATGTTGTTTATGCTGTACTTTTGTACTGTTTTATTGTTGTTAGCCTCCCTGAGCCCGGTTTCGGCTGGGGAGGGCGGGATATAAATAAAATTTTATTATTATTATTATTATTATTATTATTATTATTATTATTATTATTATTTAATCAGCCAGTCACATGTTGCTGGGGAAACTTACAGCCTCCGTCTGCAGAACATTCAACAGTGGAGGCCTGGGCCGGAAAGGGAGCCAGCGACAGACCACATATTCGCTCCATAAGACGCACAGACATTTCCCCTTACTTTTTAGGAGGAAAAAAGTGTGTCTTATGGAGCGAAAAATACGGTATAAGCCACCCCACCCCCCATTTCTGAGGCCAACACCATGGCTCAAGAGCTAAGGTTGCCAAGGAAGATTGGAGGCAACTAGGCCAGATGTAACTGCACCCGAGTTCCTCATCCAGGTTTGCGAACTTTCAAACCCAGCCACCAGTTCTGTTGTTCTCACCTCCCATATTCCTCGCTCCAGTTATAGAGGTTTCTGGTTCTCTCAATCCACTCTCCGGGGTCGAAGGGAGTTTCCGAAGGCACCAGCTTCTCACAAGAGCCCCACGGCCAAAGGGAGTGGCTTTTCTTCCAGGTGGGGTCACCTTCGTGGAGCCCAATGCAGACAAAGGTTTCTTTGCTGTTGCAAACAAGCCACACAAAAAACAAAAAAACAAAATACAAATGGGAAACTGGAGCTGCAAAAAAATCACCACCACCAATATTATCAATATCATAAGTATGCAGATGACACCCAGCTCTACCTCTCCTTTAAATCAGAACCAGTGAAGGCGGTGAAGGTCCTGTGTGAGTGCCTGGAGGCGGTTGGAGGATGGATGGCGGCTAACGGACTGAGGTTGAATCCTGACAAGGCAGAAGTACTGTTTTTGGGGGGACAGGGGGCGGGCTAGTGTGGGGGATTCCCTGGTCCTGAATGGGGTAACTGTGCCCCTGAAGGGCCAGGTGCGCAGCCTGAGTCATTTTGGACTCACAACTGTCCATGGTGGCGCAGTTTAATTCTGTGTCCAGGGCGGCTGTCTACCAGCTCCACCTGGTATGCAGGCTGAGACCCTACCTGCCCGCCGACTGTCTCGGCAGAGTGGTGCATGCTCTAGTTATCTCCCGCTTGGACTACTGCAATGCGCTCTACATGGGGCTACCTTTGAAGGTGACCCGGAAACTGCAATTAATCCAGAATGCGACAGCTAGACTGGTGATTGGGAGTGGCCGCCGGGACCACATAACACCGGTCCTGAGAGATCTGCATTGGCTCCCAGTACGTTTCCAAGCACAATTCAAAGTGTTGGTGCTGACCTTGAAAGCCCTAAATGGCCTCGGTCCTGTATACCTGAAGGAGCGTCTCACCCCCATCGTTCAGCCCGGACACTGAGATCCAGCGCCGAGGGCCTTCTGGCGGTTCCCTCATTGTGAGAAGTGAGATTACAGGGAATGAGACAGAGGGCCTTCTCGGTAGTGGCGCCCACCCTGTGGAACACCCTCCCTTCAGATGTGAAGGAAATAAGCAGCTATCCTATCTTTAAAAGACATCTGAAGGCAGCCCTGTTAGGGAAGCTTTTAATATTTAGCGCTGTATTGTTTTTAATACTTGATTGGGAGCTGCCCAGAGTGGCTGGGGAAACTCAGCCAGATGGGCAGGGTATAAATAAATTATTATTATTATTATTATTATTATTATTATTATTATTAATTTACATTCAAGATTGGATTTACTGCAACGCACTCTGTTAAAGCAGCAATTTAAACATTCACAACAGGGAGTTAAAGTTAAGAGAACAGGGGGAACGCTCATCTAAAAATGGGTACTTTAAGAGCCGGCAGAATGCCAATACTGATGGAGGCCTCTCGTATGTCAACAATGTAGCTTGGTTCTGGGTAACAAGGAAACCACCACATGCAGAAGGCAGAGTTTAACAATTAAAACTGTTAAGAGAGTGATTAATTAGGCGAGACTTCCCACAGCAATTTAGAATCTGTGGAGAAGACGTTGCTAGACTAGAGAAATCTTTAGTCTGCTCTCACCATAAAATTAAAGACTCAGAGGACCTTGCAAGTCATGTGTTCCAACACTGTATACAACCGACACCCACCTTCCTGTAACTTACGGTCACTCTGGAGCAACACAGAACATATATTTTGCCTTCTGCTGTGGAATAAAAAGGTGTACCATCTCAGGATCACTGGGGATGAGGAGAGGGTAGAGAGACAATTTGCCAGGTACTCTGGTCACATTCTGGCTTCAACGGCCAAAACTCAACACTTTGAACTGAGCTCAGAAACAGACTGGTAACCAATATGTACAGGGAACTAGGGCAGAGGGCCTTCCTCGGTAGTGGCGCCCACCCTGTGGAACGCCCTCCCATCAGATGTCAAAAGAAATAAACTACTATCTGACATTTAGAAGACACCTGAAGGCAGCCCTGTTTAGCGAACTTTTTAATGACTGATGTTTTAATGTATTTTTAACCTTCTGCTGGAAGCCGCCCAGAGAGGCTGGGGAGACCCAGATGGATGGGCCGAGTAGAAAATAATAATAATAATAATAATAATAATAATAATAATAATAATAATAATAATATCAATAGTTTTGTTGTAACCCACCCTGGGACATTAGGGTGAAGGCAGGTGATAAATTATAATCACAACAAAAACATGTGTGTGCTCAACATATATACATACACACAACACACACCTAAACCCATTCTTGATGTAAACATGACTGTTCAGGAGGAAAGCTGTACTTTGGATTGCAGGTTCAGACGCTATAGAAAGCAAGCGTGGTTAGCCCAGGAAGAATCAGAGCTTTATGTGTGGTGACACCAGAAGCCTACTTTGTATTTTAAAAATTTTTTTTGCTGCTGCTATCAAACTTGGGTGGGCGGGTGGGTAGTTTTTGGGGATACACAAAAACACTTAGGTGGTCCTAAGGTGGGAGATTAGCCTCCCCTAACACAGAGCAATTTGAGAATGCAACTGATGCATTTTTTATGAGAAAAAGGAATGCCATTATGTGAACAGGAATGCTTACTGTTTATTTACTTTGAGAAAGTGATGGAGATTAAATGTGGTCGTCCCATCGGGCAGCGTCCCTTCCAGAGGATTCCACCGGTTCCCAGGAAAAATGACGCCAGGCAAATGTTTTGACATCTTCAGTAAGTACCAGTGGTAAGTCATCATCTAGCGAAGGCAAGACGAGATGAAATTAAAGACAAGGCCTGTGGGCTTCTCCAGCCCGAAGCACCATCGATGTAAATAAACATACCTAAAACCTGACACTAAGGCTGCTGTGATGGCCTGGAATTAGGACTCGGATGCTGAACCTGAGGGATCCCAGCCTGCACAGGATTCCCCGCCTCCAGAACCAGCTGAGCCGGGGCTGCGGCTTGAGCCTGAAGGGTCCTCACCTCTGCTGGATCCTCAGGTGCAGGCATCAGCTGAGTCTGGCTCCTGAGGTGATGGAGGACCCATTGCCTGCAGGTGCTCCACTCTCAGCCCCGTCAGGGGAAGGTGAGGTTGCCTCTGGGTCCGGTAACCCTCCAGCCTCTCCTGAGCTGCAGAGGCTCAGGGCAGAGAGGCGGAGGGAACTAAGTTCCCGCAGGAGGAGTGCTCGCCTCCAGGCCAGGAGAGGCGAGTCACCAGAGGATCGGTGCTTTCCCATATAAGGTAATGCAAAACGGATTAATCCGTTGCAGACTTTTAAAAACAACCCCTAAAACATTGTATCTCACTATTAATATACTTCTTCTTAATTGTATTTCAGTTCAACAATTACTTTGATAAAATACATTTTTTTGTTATGCCCAAATGGCTTTAGATACAGTGGTGCCCCGCAAGACGAATGCCTCGCAAGACGAAAAACCCGCTAGACGAAAGGGTTTTCCGTTTCGGAGGCGCTTCGCAAGACGAATTTCCCTATGGGCTTGCTTCGCAAGACGAAAACGTCTTGCGAGTCTCGCCATTTCCCCCCCGCTCCCCCCCCCTTTTCAAAGCCGCTAAGCCGTTAATAGCCTTTTAACAGCTTAGCCGCTAAGCCTTTAATAGCCGCTAAGCCGCTAAATCGCTAATAGCGCTAATCCTCTTAGCCGCTAATGGGCTTGCTTCGCAAGACGAAAAAACCGCTAGACGAAGAGAATCGCGGAACGGATTCTTTTCGTCTTGCGAGGCACCACTGTACCTATTAGGTCCACGAATTCCCATATAGCATATATTCAACACAAAAACCAGTGACAATTTGTTGTTGACAAAGGACAGCTGGACATATAAAGAAGGGCCCCATTACCTTCAGGAGCTGAGGGCCTCATCAAACCTAAATCCGGCCCTGGCCAGGAGTGTCACCTGCCTGACCTGAAACTCTGGTTTAAACTGCTCTCGGCACCAGCAAGACTGAGCTACATGGACCAACGTCTGGCCAGCACAGCAGCTTCTCGTGTTCCCATGCCTTGCAAGGAACTGTCATCACCTGTAAGCATCTCACACTCTGTAAAGCATGCAAACCTCGCTTTCTACCTACTTCTTGGTCCACCAAGGTAACGTCAGGTCTCACTCCCTCACAATAATGGAGGTAACGGAGAGAATTGCCGGGCAAGTCCCCTCTCAGCAGGACGATGGCATCCGGAGGCATGGAGGACAAAAGGTTCCTCGCAAAGCAGTCGACGACGTAGTTGCGGCTTTGGTCACAGATGCTGGGCGGAAAGAGATAATGGGAAAGAAAAGGGAAAGCTGTTTTGTGTTGCTTTTAGTCCATCCCCAAGTAGCTCAGCTAGATAAACAGGAGTGGGAGACACAGCATGGCTTTGAATCCTAGGCTTTGTAGCATTTGCAAACCCTTTCAAGAGTAATGACAGGCCACCGGGCAGCTTAATGTTTGTTTGTTTGTTTATTTATTTATTTATTTTTTAAAAGATATTTATTGAAGTTTTCAAAGTATTACAAAAAGAAAACAGAAAACAGAAAAAATACAAAATAAAAATAGTTAAAAACAATTAGATCTTTCCATATCTTATCTTTCATTAGCTTGTTTCCCGGACCTCCTCACACCTCCCTTTTTTGTATTCCACTTCAATTTATTGGTTCAGCAAATCCTTATCATTAGATTTTAACCCATTTATAACCCTTTTTTCATATTCTCTTAGAGCATTACAGCTGGAAACCCCTTAATTGCTATCCAACATCATTCTATCATTCATTAATTTTCTGTAGATAGTCTTTAAATTTCTTCCAATCTTCTTCCACCGACTCTTCTCCCTGGTCTCGGATTCTGCCAGTCATTTCTGCCAATTCCATATAGTCCATCACCTTCATCTGCCATTCTTCCAAAGTGGGTAGATCTTGTGTCTTCCAATACTTTGCAATGAGTATTCTTGCTGCTTAATGTTTGTTTATTAAGGACCTGACATTCTCTACATGCAATGCAATAAGAATAAGAATAAGAATAATAAATAATATTTATTTATTTATACCCCGCCTTTCCCGGTTCAAAAACCAGGCTCAGGGCGGCTAACAACAAATTTAAAACACTTAATTATAAAAGCAGCATAAAATACAGTATAAAAACATGAATAACAATAAAATTCAAAAATCAATTTAGGGGAAATAAGCATTAGATAATCCCCAGGGCTAGCTGGCTGAATTGGTCCTACTTGGGCCAGCGAGGAGGCCAGGGGAGAATTAGCTGTGGGGTCTCAGAGCGGGTGATCTTCATAAAAGGGGAGGGGGAGGGAAGGGAAGGGAAATAAAAGATCAGGCTGAATTCAAATTAAAGGCCAGGTGGAATAGCTCTGTCTTACAGGCCCGACGGAAGGAGGTTAAATTCTGAAGGGCCCTGGTCTCGTGGGACAGAGCGTTCCACCAGGTTGGAGCCATCACTGAAAAGGCCCTGCCCTGGTGGAGGATAGTCTGACTTCCTTAGGGCCCGGACCTCTAAACTATGGTTATTCATAGACCTTAAGGTCCTCTGCGGGGCAGACCAGGGGAGGTGGTCCCATAGAAAAATGACGCAGGCCCTGCCCTCAGGCGTATTATCTGTAAGAGGCAAGGAAAAAGGAATGTGGAGGGCAGAGGAAGAGAAATTTACAAAACTTCCCTGACATTAATTTCCATAAGAATATATAAAGAGTCTGCAGGATCAGGTCAATGGCCATTCTAGTCTAGCATCCTGTTCCCACAATGGCTGAACAGTTGCCTGTGGGAAACCAAGAGGCAGGATTCGAACTCAAGACCAGCACTCTCCCCTCCTGTGGTTTCCAGAAACTGGCATTCAGAATCATTGCTGCCTCCAGCAGTGGAGGGCAAAGCATAGCCATCATGGCTGGTATCCATCAACAGCCCTCTCCCCCATGAATTTGTCTAGCCCTGGTGATCATATAATGTTTATTGGATGGATTTCCCCCTAAATTGATTTTTTAATTCTGAATTTATTGTTATTCACGTTTTATACGGTATTTTATGCTGTTTTTTGTTGCATCAATTAAGTGTTTTAAATTTGTTGTTAGCCGCCCTGAGCCCGGTTTTCTGAACCAGGAAGGGAGGGGTATAAATAAAAATTTATTATTATTATTATTATTATTATTAGTATAAAAGCAAAGCAAATTGGTGGGCATCACTACCGAATTAATTGTGGGATGTATCTTAATTTATTGATCGTTTGTTTTATGCATTGTCTTACTTGTATGATGTTAGCCGCTCTGAGCCCGGCTTTGGCAAGGGAGGTCGGGATATAAATACTACTACTACTATTATTATTATTATTATTATTATTATTTCTTCTGGCAAAGGAGTTTGCAAAGGAATAAGGCTCCACATCCCTTCAGCAGGCAGAGATGAACTCGACCGATGAATGGAGGACTTGTTGGAGTTGATCTCGCAGCAGGTCCAGCCAGCATCTGATGTTGGGAGTTGCATTTAAAACATAGGGAGTGGTAAAGATTCCCTGGCCTAAATAGAGCCAATCATCTCATTCAGCAGACGGCAGCTTTGGATGGTCAATGGCGGAACTAGTTTTGATGCCCTGATGCAGGCTGGGTTTAGGTTTGATGAGGCTCTAAGCTCCTGAAGGTACAGGGGCCCTTGATATGTCCAGCTGTCCTTTGTCAACAACAAATTGTCACTGTTTTTTTGTGTTAAATATTTGCTATATGGAAATTTATGGACCTAATGGGTATCTCAAGCCATTTGCACATAACAAAATATGTATTTTATCAAAGTAATTGTTGAACTGAAATACAATTAAGAAGAAGTATATTAATAGTGGACGGATGCGGGTGGCGCTGTGGGTTAAACCACTGAGCCTAGGACTTGACGATCAGAAGGTGGGCGGTTTGAATCCCAACGATGGGGTGAGCTCCTGTTGCTCGGTCCCTGCTCCTGCCAACCTAGCAGTTCGAAAGCACGTCAAAGTGCAAGTAGATAAATAGGTACCGCTCCAGCGGGAAGGTAAACGGCGTTTCCGTGCGCTGCTCTGGTTCGCCAGAAGCGGCTTAGTCATGCTGGCCACATGACCCGGAAGTTGTACGCCGGCTCCCTCAGCCAATAAAGCAAAATGAGCGCCGCAACCCCAGAGTCATCCGCGACTGGACCTTTTTATATTAATAATGAAATACAATTAAGAAGAAGTACAGGGTGAGTCTTTTAAAAGAGGCCCCGTGGAACATGTGTCCTCTGTATCCACGGGGCCTCACCCTGTATATTAATGGTAAAATAATTATTAAGCTCTAACTTTAAGTGATTTTTTATTCATAGCAAACTTCATAATGCAAACACATTGGCATTTGGCAATAACAAAAGTTCCTTTAGAAACAAAATTTACAAAGACTCATAATTTTGGGGGGGCCCCCAAGAGAGTGGGGCCCTAAGCTATAGCTTGTTTAGCTTATACGTAAATCCGGCACTGCCCTGATGCAGCGTTTTTGCTAAGATCCTAGTTGGCACGTTTTTAGAAGATGCTCCCATCCTGCCTAAGCAGTGTGAAGTCTTAAAGGGTTCTAAGCAAGAGCTAGCGTAGCAAGATGATTGGACTACAAGCAGGGAAACCTGGGTTCAAATCCACGCTAGGCCCTGTATACCTGAAGGAGCGTCTCCACATTCATCGTTCAGCCTGGACTCTGAGGTCCAGCTCCAAGGGCCTTCTGGTGGTTCCCTCACTGCGAGACGTGAAGCTACTGGGAACCAGGCAGAGGGCCTTCTCGGTAGTGGCGCCCACCCTGTGGAACGCCCTCCCGTCGGATGTCAAACAGATAAACAACAATATGACTTTTAGAAGACATCTGAAGGCAGCTCTCTGTACAGTATAGGGAAGTTTTTAATGGTTGATGTTTCATTGTGAATACGGTGGTACCTTGGGTTACATTCGCTTCAGGTTACATACGCTTCAGGTTACAGAGTCCGCTAACCCAGAAATAGTACGTCGGGTTAAGAACCTTGCTTCAGGATGAGAACAGAAATCATGCTCCGGTGGTGCGGTGGCAGTGGGAGCTTCTGGTTAAGAACCGTTTCAGGTTAAGAACGGACCTCCGGAACGAATTAAGTACTTAACCCGAGGTACCACTGTATTTTGTTGGGAGCTGCCTAGAGTGGCTGGGTACGAATAAAAAAAACCTGTAGTAGTAGTAGTAGTAGTATAGTAATAGTAATAATAATAGTAATAGTAATAGTAGTAGTAATAGTAGTAGTAGTAATAGTAGTAGTAGTAGTAGTAGTAGTAATAGTAATAGTAGTAGTAATAGTAATAGTAATAATAATAGTAGTAGTAATAGTAATAGTAATAGTAGTAGTAATAGTAGTAGTAATAGTAATAGTAATAATAATAGTAATAGTAATAGTAATAGTAGTAGTAATGGTAATAGTAGTAGTAATAGTAATAGTAACAGTAATAGTAATAGAAGTAGTAATAGTAATAGTAATAGTAGTAGTAATAGTAATAGTAATAGTAGTAGTAATAGTAATAGTAGTAGTAATAGTAATAGTAGTAGTAATAGTAATAGAAGTAGTAATAGTAATAGTAATAGTAATAGTAGTAGTAGTAGTAGTAATAGTAATAGTAATAGTAATAATAATAGTAATAAATAGGCCAATTGCTATCTTTCAGCCTAACCTATCTGGCAGGGGTGTTGTGAGTAGGGACATCAGACAATTTCAATGGAAATGGAAACGGAAGGGGAAATGGCTGATGTTGCTTACATGTCCCATGTCCAGAATGGAAATTAAACCAGTTCGGGATTTGTTGTTGTTCCTGCTCCTTCTGATATGTAACTGATTATGTCCCCCTCCCTGTTTGCATTCTCTTTCCTTTGCCCAGGGTGGAATGGGATGTAGCAGCGAGGCAGCGAGATGAATAACATAGCATTTAGCGAAAGGCGAACTGCAGTGGAACGGAAGCGGCGCTGCATGCGATGGATACAAGGCAGAACAGAAGACGGTGCCTCCTTACAACACGAGTTGCGTGGCTAAATAAGGAAGCGAGAAGCAGGTGTGGCCGCCCTGAACCACTTGAGGGAACAGTGGGAAATGAACACAACGCTAATTGGACTTTTAAGCCCACTCTGCAAATCTGAACCCACTGTGCTCTTTCTTGCAGTTACCTGTAATTAGAGTAGATTTGCCCGGTAACCAGAACGGCAGCAAGAAGCCATTCCAGGGAGTGAAGAACTCGCCTGTTTTCAGCTAACCGCTCTGCAAAAGCGAAAAGCGAGGAGAAACCGAGGCCGGCTAGAACAGCAACCACCGCATTGCTCTGCATCCAGAATCGCTCGACCTGCGAAAGGACAGACAGACAGCATTTCCCCAACTGCGTAGAAATGTGATGGATATTAGATTCATAGAAATGCAGAGTTGGAGGAGACTACGGGGGTCATCTAGTCCAACCCCCTGAAATGCAGGAATCTTTTGCCCAGCGTGGGGCTCATGCTCCACCAACTGAGCTATCCTAGGTATCATAGTAAGGATATATTAATTATAACTGATTCTCTAGAGACCCGTGTGTTTGGATTAACACAAAATGTCTTATGCCTGTTTTTAAAATGCAGGGCTTGCACCTAAAGAGACCCAGTACTGGAGTTTAAATCTCACTGTTAGGCAGATTTACTGATGCCTAAAAATAGGTTTTTAAACCTTTTTAATACATCCCAGCTCTTAAGGCACCTGGCCTTAAGACCACAGACTGCAAGGTAAGTTTAAAATGTTTTACTTACAGTCACTAGGTCTCAGAGTTGAATTTTCCTTAGTAGCAACAATAAAATGCAGGTAAATGTGCTTAGATGAAATATATACAGCAAAGCAGCCTCAGATACATATGAGAGGCAGAGAACAAAGTTGATGTATTTCTGCTTCCTTGCTCGCAGCGTGATAGAGAGACAGAGAAAGGATGTGACACCACAGAGGCTACTCTAGTAATTGAGAACTCTGTGGTCCTTAACCCCTTCACATACTAACTAGCACTGTTAGGTTTGACTGCAAATCTCCCACACAATGCATGTTTGCAAAACGCTGCATGGAGTTCAGCTTTAGTGAATATAGACCTGGGAGATTGTCTTTCGGTTTTCCAAAATCTAGAGGAAGGGCCACAGCTCACTGGCAGAGCATGTGCAGAAAGCCCTAGGTTAAATCCCTAGCATCACCAGCTAAGAAGGTAATCTCTGCCTGGGACAGGTGGAATTTTCAGGTTTAAATTTTAGTTGCATGTAATTTTAGTTACAACCTGGCATCTTCTTTCATTTTGCCAGTTTATAAGGAGCAGGTATAAAACAACAGAAACAAGGGAACACATCAACATTATAGAAAAAAGAGAAAAGTATAAGGTATGCTGAAAATTATTAGGTTTTCTCCAGTCCTCAACAAAGTCAAGCAGAGATACAGCACTCATGTCCATAACATGTTTTCTGCGAAAAAGGGAAGGAACCAAGAGTTGATGAATACTATAAATTTAATCAGTCTCATTATCTGAGATATCACTATCAGTTTCTCTTTTGGCTTCTTCGTATTTGTCACCGTATCTATCACAGACTTTCTAAAAGCCGAAAGTTTGCCCAGATTGAAACAAACTTCTACAGCCTTTCACATGTCACAGTGCTTTTCCTTTTTCATTCTTTTCCAGAAACAACCCCCCCCCCTCCAAAGAAATGGGCTTTGGGGGGAAATGGAAAAATACTTTCTTCCCCCTGAACTTTTCTCTCCCTCCCCCAGACATTCATCTCTCTGCTCAGACATCGCAGAGCAATTTCTAAATCCTGAAATAAGCTTTAAATTAAATTAAAACCATGCATTTTGTTTTTTAAAAAACAACAACATAAATAGCAACCTTGAAAGCAAACATACCACTCCTTTAAACAGCGGCTTTGAAATATCCAGATTTGCTCTCCAAGCAAAGAAAAACGAATAGGCGAGGAGCATTGAAGTGAACAGCCAGACTAAATTTGGCTTCTCCACCTTGGGCCTAGGAGAGGGGAGAGAGACTGCGATTAAGAGAGCGATTAAGGTGGGAAAATGCAAAAGACAAAACTGCGTTTTAATTGAAGAATGGCAGAAGATGCAGCACACACAACTAACATCGCGAAAGGTACATCAGAGATGTGATTCCAAAGAAAGCCAGGCGAAAGGTGGTTGCTGTTGGCTTAAATCATTATTTTTAATGTGATCGTTAAAACTACGCTTCAAACAAGGTTCCCAGGGTGGAATACAAAGACTGCAGTGAAATAAAATAAATCAGCTACACAGCCATAAAATCACTAATCGGTACAATAAGGGAGCGGTCCAAACGCCCTATGAAGGCATGGGTTTTAGCAATGCACAACGGAGGAGGATACGAGAACAACTTTTTGAAGAGTAAACCCTCGAACAAAAACCGGCCGCTACCTCACTGCTGCACACAAACACGCGATGATAGCAAGGGCTTGGGTGATGGCAGAGAGCTCCGTCCTCATGTCAGACACTTGGAAACTGCAAAGGCATCAAAAGTCAAAATATTGGTAGTGCAATAGCTAAAAGCAGGTGTTGCAACAGCCGTCAAATCAATGCATCCACAATCACGGCAGTACAACTGCTGGCAGAAAAATCACGGGGTCTCAGAAGCCATGGAGTGGAAGTCATGATGTCCTATTCTGACAACTGGGAAGACTAAGTTGGGGCCCTGCATGGCCCACAGTTGACACCTGCCCTGGCCCACCCTTTAAAGACGTATTTTGCCCGAGGTTCCAACGAATATTTGGCCGCTGGTTCCCACGGTGTTTCAGGGTGAAGTGACGCAGCTTGCGTCAAATTCAACTGTGGTTCCCTAGACGTCTACACCGTCCAATTGCCATATTCATCTGCACATTAAAGGTAAAGGGACCCCTGACCATTAGGTCCACTTGTGACCGACTCTGGGGTTGCGGCGCTCATTTCACTTAACTGGCCGAGGGAGCCGGCGTACAGCTTCCGGGTCATGTGGCCAGCATGACTAAGCTGCTTCTGTCGAACCAGAGCAGCACACGGAAACGGCGTTTACCTTCCCGCCGGAGTGGTACCTATTTATCTACTTGCACTTTCATGTGCTTTCGAAATGCTAGGTTGGCAGGAGCAGGGACCAAGCAACGGGAGCTCACCCTGTTGCGGGGATCTGAACCGCCGACCTTCTGATCGTCAAGTCCTAGGCTCTGTGGTTTAACCCACAGCGCCACCCGCGTCCCCATCAGTACATTAATCCTCTCAAAAATGTGTTTAAAGATTGTTAAACTCATTTTTTTGAATAGCATCTTCTTTCAAAACATGCATGTCCAACGTTACAGCAGTATTTTCATTTTTAAATACAGTGGACGCTCAGGTTGCCAAGATGATCCGTGCGGGATGCATGTTCTCAACCCACAGTGTTTGCAACCCGCAGCGGCGCATCTGCGCACGCGAGGGTTGCGATTTGGCACTTCTGCGCATGCACAAAGCGCAATTTAGCATTTCTGCGCATGCATGACCGCTGAAACCCAGAAGTAACCCATTCCAGTACTTCCGGGTTTTGGCAGGTCCGTAACCCGAAAAACCGCAACCTGAAGGGTCTGTAACCCGAGGTATGACTGTACATTCCGAAACATCTGACATGTCAAAATGTTTGGGAAGTGCAAGAGACCAGTGGATAATGAAGTTCCGATCTGCAAGTTGGTTCCAGGAGGTATGAAGCCGGTCAACTGTATGAGAATTCACGGAGATCAACCCCCCTGAGCATCCCTGCCCTGGAACAATGTTATTACATCAGCGGTATTGTGGGAAGTCAAAATGCTGCTGCCTGATGCAGCCGAATAATCCCCAGGGCCTTCTGTGTGGCTGCTCCAAAAATGTGGAACTCCCTCCCTAGAGAAGCCAGCCTGGCTCCCTCCTTGTTATCCTTCTGCCAGCAGATGGGAGACCTTTTTATTCCAATGTGCTTTGGGGAACGGACCATTTTTCATGAAAGGGTTGGTGTGCCGTGCTGCTTTTATTAAAATTATTTGTATGATGTGTGTGTGTATATAATTTTTTCAATGTTTAATTGGATTTTAAATGATTTTCCCTATGTTTTTAGCAGCTCCTATTTTTATCAATTGCCTTGAGTCCCTAGCAGTGAAAAAAGAAGGATATACATATAATAATAATAATAATAATAATAATAATAATAATAATAATAATAATAATAATTTATTATTTATACCCCGCCCATCTGGCTGGGTTTCCCCAGCCACTCTGGGCGGCTTCCAACAGAATATTAAAATACAATATTAAACATTAAAAGCTTCCCTAAACAGGGCTGCCTTCAGATGTCTTCTAAAAGTCTGGTAGTCGTTTTTCTCTTTGACAAAGAAGAAGAAAAAGAAGAGGTCACCAGTGTAGGATTTTGTTATGAGCCCTCCCAGACCAAGAAAGAAATTAAACGATTCACTTACAGCAATATATCAGCCATACTCGATCCATTCTCTAATTTTGCCTACACAGGAAAGAAAAACACTCAACAAATGCTGCAATAGGTTCCTGCCCTCTTTTTCCAGAGGTTAACCCCAGGATTTTTACATATTGTCAGAGCCAACTCCATGGGCGGAAGTACACTTTATTTTCCCTGTCCTGAATTTGCCAACATTCAGCTTTGTCGGAGGGTCCCAAGTTCTAGAAAAGAAGAGAGGGGAAAAATCCCCATGCACTTTCTCCAGGCATAAATTTTTGCCCCACTGCCATGTCCTCCCTTATCGCGGACTTTCCTCAGAGTCACTTGCCGCTGGTCCCGGTAATGTAAGGAGAGCCTACAGGATCAGGCCAACGACCCATCTAGTCCAGCATCCTGTTCTCACAGTGGCCAACCAGATGCCTGTGGGAAACCAGGGAGCAGGATTCGAACACAGGACCCCTCTCCCCTCCTGCTGTTTCCAGACAATGCTCAGAAGCATTGCTGCCTTCAACCGTGGAGGCAGAGCCAAGCCATCTTGGCTCATAGCCCTTGATAGATTTATCCTCATTTTCTGAACTGAATCCACTACCTTTTTGGAAACTGCTAGCAGCTGGATATCAGTTGGACACCCCTTGCCCAGGGCACCTCCAATCATAGCTGTCAACTTACAGATTTGAAAATAAGGGACCAGCAGCCTCGAAAATAAGGGATCAGCAGCCAAAATAAGGGATTTTGCGAGCACAGGTATGTTCAACTTCTGAGCCCCTCCGAGCCAGAGGCAGAAAGCCCAGCCAGCAGCCAAACGAAGCTTCAAGCGGTGGTTCCCACAGCGCAGCAACCCGGCAAAGGGGATGCAGCAAGGGAAACCACCGTCACCTCTCCGCTGGGAAGCGCTGAGCAAAGGCGAGTCCCCAGGCAACGCGGCCGATTTGATCAGCACAAGGCATACAAGCTCCACCCCCCAGCCGTTCTTAGACTCCTTATTGGGTGAGCAACACAGCCAAGCAACATGGTTGGAGCCTCCCTCCTCCCTGGCCGGCAAGGAGGGAGGGAGAGGAGCTGCTTCCTTTGAAACCCGGGAAATTTAAGGGACATCATCAATAAGGGACAGCAGCGGGACACAGCGCTGGGATAAGGGACTTTCCCGCCAAATAAGGGACGGTTGACAGCTATGCCTCCAATTCATTGCATATGTTCAGCCTTCCCCTTCCATTGACACGAGCAAAGCAGAGTGTCACACCGCAGCTGTGACGGCCTCACCGGCCTGCTCATTTTCCCTTCGGAACAAAATAACTACGATTAAGCGGCACGAGGGAGATCACATTTATTTCTCTAGCTACCAAGCGGTTTAGCCACCCCAAAGAAGAAGCACAGGGGCTACGAAACCACTATTTGAGAAATAACAATTTTTAACGCTCTTCTGCCACTAGGACCCCAGGCTGTGCGTCTAAAAGATTCGGAGCCACGCAGACTCCAGATACATAAGAAAATCTTGTTCTCTGGAAGAGAGCCCCTCTCTTCCCCCCCCAACCCCCGGTTTACCAAATTGAAGGTTCCATATTCTTCCCTGAGAAGATGGGTCGTAAATCCCTTAAGGGTCGTCTGGTCTCCCCAGGTCCAGCGCGCTTTGTTGAGGTAGGAAGAGGCAGGTAGGTAGAGATACGGCAGGCAGCCAGCCAGGAAGCAGAAAGTCAACTTTAGCATGTGGCCTAGGGTCAATTCCTGCACCAATATAATAAAATAAAATAAAATGTCAAATTGCACCACGGTGATTATTTCGGTGGGGTCGTGCCGGAACTTTGCCATCGGACATCAAGGGTTGGGGAGGAAAGGCAAAGGAAATATGTGGAGATATATATATTGACACACACAGAACTGATCTCTCAATTTGCACGTTAAGTCCCTGCAAAAAGGCAATGTTGAAAACGGCACCATCTCCGTGGATTACTCGGGGGAAATGACATCGCTCTGATCTCTTCTGCTTGGCAGGATGAATTTTTAAAGTGAAGCGAATAATATTAGAGGCTCCCCGAAAGATCATGTTTGTGGCGCGTTTCACCACTGAAACTGTGCCATGGGTGGCGGGAAACGCTGCAATGCGGAGATAAACCACTTTGCGATGATCAGAGTTGGCTGGTTTTCCACCTGCAACCCCCTTCGCCCATAATTAAATTAAATAACTAAGGCTTGCCCCCCCCACCACCACACACAACATGCTCTTCGTCAATAACTTGATCCCATTTATTTTTCTAGCTCTGGAGTGCCAGGACACAGCCACACAGGATTCAGAAGAGAACGTGTGTATGTCTAACTGTAAAAGACAACGGTTCTGTTTGCATGTCACAGTAAACCATGGTTAACGGTTTACAGATTGTCCTCTCCACTGGGTGAGAGGAACCACAAACCATGGCCTGCGGCTTAGCGTTTAGTCTGAAGCACTGGCTATCATTTCTTTTGCTCACACCACAATTAGTAAGTAAAGAACAAATCTTGGCTTTACATTACGGCTTTTTGGGGAGCAGAGGAACCCACAATCCCTGGTTCAGACATCCCACTAAGCCTAACATTGGCAAACCACAGTTTACTGTGACAGGAAAACGCAGCTAACAGGGCAACTGAAAGGATTATTGCATTCTTTCTGAGGCTAAAGTTAGACAAGCTCTTGAAGGAAGATGTTTATCAATAACTACTAGCAACTGGTTGCATGGTGGTTGTTGTTTTGTTTGTTTTTTTAAAAAACTGCACTTTAATACATAACAAGCAACCCATTCTAGATTGCAAAGTCCTTGGGAACAGAGACCTATTTTTTGCTGTCTGAAATGATAATGGGGATGAAGATGATGTCAGCATCGCCCTTGAGCCAGTGCCACCAACTGGACTCATCCACTTCCGCCCCGACTGGGCTAGGCGAGCTGGGTAGCACTTCCAGAGACCACCTTCTGCACAGGAACAAGTCAAAGTGCTGTGGACTCACAGCTTAGAGTTGTGAGCACCGGATTCACTTCCACAAGAAGACAGTCGTCGCACAGCAGAGTACAGCAGATTCTAGCAGAGTATATAAACAACTCGGAGAGCAGCTCTGTAGAATATCTTCTTTATTCTATCTACAACTATACAAACTATATACAGAGCTTAATAGGTCTAAGCATAAATGAATGGTGAACCGCACTGAGTGTCTGCAGCTGCTCTTAGCAGCAACCTTATCTAAACACACAATCTCTCTCTAACACTCTCTCTCTCCGACACACTGACTGACTCTTTGATGTGGTGCTGGAGCAGAATAAGTAGAGAGCAGAACACGCCTCCTCCTCTCTGGAGAATCAGCAGACTCCTCAGGAGATTCTTGGATATGGGAGGGGTGAAATCTCCTCAGATGATTATTATTATTTTATTATTTGTCCCCTGTCCATCTGACTGGGTTGTCCCAGCCACTCTGGACAGCTTCCAACAGATATAAAAACATAAGGGCTGTATTTTTATATATGGTTTTAATATGTTAAAAAAACCTTTCCAAGCAATGTATAGAAAACTAAAACAACAAATAATGTTACAAAAACACAGAATAAAACCATTAATACTAACGAATACTGACTATTCCCAGTTCTTTCTCCTTCTGAGACACCTGCCAGCTTCCTGGCTCTCATCCAACACTCCACGCATCTACCTTGGCTCTCTCCCAGGACAGAAAAATAATTCACAAAACCACCCCCTCCTCACAATAATGGGGGTTCCTGGAACCAACTGGCAAACCCCCTAACCCTTCACTGTAGGCTTGCTTTTATGCACAGGTCCCAAGGGGAATAGCACTTCCTCAAACCACCCAGAGATGTCTTCCAATTTGCACTCGGTCAGTTGCACTGCAAGGGACCAGTTCCAAGTTACCTCCTCCAAGCTATTAGAATCTCCCTCCTGCAACTTTGGGTGGCAAGCTCTGCCCCTTTCTGCATGCCCAGGTAAAAGGCAAAGGACCCCGGGACAGTTAAGTCCAGTCAAAGGCGACTCTGGGGTTACAGCGCTCATCTTGCTTTCAGGCCAAGGGAGCCGGCGTTTGTCCACAGACAGCTTTCCGGGCCATGTGGCCAGTAGGACTAAACCACTTCTGGCACAATGAAACACTGTGACGGAAACCAGAGTGCATGGAAAAGCTGTTTACTTTCCCACTGGAGTGGTACCTATTTATCTACTTGCACTGGCATGCTTTCAAATTGCTAGGTTGGCAAGAGCTGGTCAGAGCAACAGGAGCTCACTCCATCGCGGGGATTCGAACCCGACCTTCCGATTGGAAAGCCCAAGAGGCTCAGTGGTTTAGACCACAGCGCCACAGAGAGAAGGCTGCGAAGAGTGTCTGGCCATGCTCATCCCTGGACTCTCTCAGCCACCCAAGTCTTCTTTCCAAAGTGCATTGTGGGTACTCACCCTCTCCCTGAGCAAGCAGGAGAAAACCCACAGCGCGACACAAATCACATAGACGACGATGGTGTGCTGGTTGCACAAGCTGAGGCCGCAGCAGAAGGCGCCCGCTTTGCAGATCTGCAAAAAGGAAACGAAAGGAGCATCTAATTGTGGCTTTTTAAATTGGTTTTTCAGAATGTAAGAAGAACATGCTGGATCTGGCTAGTCCAATTTCCTGCTCCCACGGTGACCAACCAGATGCTTGTGGGACTATTTTATTTAGAAATATAATAGTCAGATGGGTGGCCTATAAATAAATTGCTATATTCTTATTAGTACAGTGGTACCTCTAGATACGAACGGGATCCGTTCTGGAGCCCCATTCGCATCTAGAGATAAATGTAACTAGTGATGGCACGTCTGCGCATGCGCGCGTTGCTTTTCACCGCTTCTGCGCATAACGTCATTTTGAGCGTCTGCGCACGCGCAAGCGGCAAAACCCGGAAGTAACGCGCTCCGTTACTTCTGGGTTGCCGAGGAGCGCAACTTGAACGCGCTCAACTCGAAGTGTATTTAACCCGAGGTATGACTGTAGCAATATCGTTGTTATTATTATTTCTGAAAATACATTTTCCTAATACAACGCATTTCTAATTCCCCCCCCCCAACTAATCTGTGCATTTTTATACACACTATGCTTTGCTGGAGAACTGCATTGCACATTTCAGAGAAGTGCAAATTTCAAAGGATCACTGTGTTTTGGTTACCAAAGTCCGGGGACATCCAACTCCCAAGGGACTGCGATCTACTCACAGAAAAAAAAATATGGCAGTGATCAGAGTTGTTGAGATTTGGTCAAAGTTGTTGAGCTTTTTGCGGGGAGGAAAGTCAATGTTGTTCACCTTTTTTTTAGAGGGGCAGGTATAGAATTTTGAGCTTTCTTTAGGGGGAAAAGGGAAAAGACGCTCACCAAACTATCAATTAGGAAACAAACAGCCTCAGAGCGAAAACTCCGTCTTCCGATCATGTGTAAATGGAGGACAGCGCAAAAGCTCTTTTTTGCCCGCAAAGGAAAAAGAGCCTGTGATCGACTCTAACATCCTGGGAATCGACCAGTCGATCGTGGTCGACCAGTTGGACAGCCCTGCCATAGTGTTTCTGAAAGTGTGAATTAGGTAAAATTGCTTTCAGAGGTGAACTGAATTGAATTTTGCCCCCAAAATAACCAGGGACTGAGGTTAAATGGGATTAACAGGGAGAAGACTGTTGTTTTTACCGGTTGGCCACTGAGGAAAATAAGACTAAATGGGCCTTTGGTATGAATATTTCAAAAATTAAAAACGAGGGCAGCCTGAAAGTTGTTGAGATTTTTGTTACAAAAATACCAAAAAAATGAAATTTTTTGATTGACTTGCCTAAAATCCAGGACAAAGCTCCACCTTTCAAAAATTCTTACATGCTTAAGTCTCTTCTCTCAACTGTGAGACAGGCTACAGAGATAAACTGTTGGGGCACTAGCATCTCAACTCATGCACCACATTTTTCATTAAAAAAATAAAAACCCCACCACCGCATTTTCTCTATAATCAGAGAAATTAATTAGAAAGAGAGAGAGAGAATGCCTCTCATTGGGGCAGCACATATATTATCATTTATTAATTTATATTCCGCTTATATGCGAAAATGGCTTCTACACGGTTTACAGCTATAAAATAAATTCATATTTAAAACACACATTAAAAAGATAATTAAATTAAACAATGAATCATTAAAAAAAACGCAAAACAAGTAAAACAAGTGAAAATAAAACAAACAGCTGAAACAATAAAACAAGAAATTCTGCTCAAGGGAATGCTTGCGTCTTCAGGAGCCGGCGGAGTGCCGACACTGATGGGAGTCTCTCATATTTCAGCAGGGAGGGAATTCTACAGCACTGGTGCCACCCTCCAGCCATCTATGGGTTTAGAAAGAGGCTCGGGTAGCAGGTGTTGTGGAAGTCTCTGGGAATAAGAGCAGGGATGATGGGCTAGGTGGACTTTTGGCCTGATCCGACAGCCGAGCTCTTCTCATGTTCACAGGACTTGCTGCCTGTCCGAGCGGACTATACTGGGCTAGATGGACAAGCAGTCTTAGGCAGTAGGAAGAAGTCTCCCATGTTCCTACAGGAACAAATCCGGGTTTAGTGGAAGAGCATCTGTTTTAAATGCAGACGGCCCCAAGTTCAAAACTTGGCAGCACCTCCGGGTAGGTCGACCTGAACCTCAGGAGTGCTGCTGCCAGTCAGGGCAGGTAATATTCAGCTAGACGTCCAATGGTCTGACTCAGTAGCAGACAGTTTTGTCTGTTCCAGGTGTCTTAAACCATCATGTGCCATTCGGCCCAAGATAAACCTTCCCAGACTCAGCTTCTTCCAGATGTTTCGGACTACAACTCCCATCATCCCCAGCCGTCACGGCCATGCGCTGATGGGATCTGTAGTCCAAAACATCTGGGAAGGCTGAAATCCAGAACGCGGCAGCCAGACTGGTGACTGGGAGTGGCCGCCGAGACCTTATAACACCAGTCTTGAAAGACCTACATTGGCTCCCAGTACATTTCTGAGCACAATTCAAAATGTTGGTGCTGACCTTTAAAGCCCTAAACAGCCTTGGTCCAGTATATCTGAAGGAGCGTCTCTACCCCCATCATTCTGCCCGGACACTGAGGTCCTGCTCCGAGGGCCTTCTGGCGGTTCCCTCCCTGCGAGAAGCCAAGTTACAGGGAACCAGTTGAAGGGCCTTCTCGGTAGTGGCACCCGCCCTATGGAACGCCCTCCCAACAGATGTGAAAGAGAACAACAACTACCAGACTTTTAGAAGACACCTGAAGGCAGCCCTCTTTAGGGAAGCTTTTAATGTTTGATGTATTACAGTATTTTAATATTTTTTGGGAAGCCGCCCAGAGTGGCTGGGGAAGCCCAGCCAGATGGGCGGGGTAGAAATAATAAATTATCATTATCATTATTATTATTATTATTATTATTATTATTATTATTAATTGTAGGCTTGGGTTGCTTCCATTAATGGTGTAGGTGGGGAGGGAAATAATCTATCGTGATGGCTTTTGATCGTGAGCGGTCTACCTTTGATCTCTCCTTGGCGGTCGCAGCCTCCCGGAAGCGCACGCAGAGAGCCATCAGCAGCCCCACAAACAGATTGTTTAAGCTGAAAACCTCTGCCGTGATGGACCACTGCCATGTGAGGCGAGAAAACGAAAACATCCCCACAGCAAAGATTCCTGCAGCATGCTTGCCAGAAAGCCTGCAAACACAGATAACAAGAAAATGTACCGTCTCCTCCAACAACTCTTAGTACACACCCCACCCGTCACACGGAAAAACAAAATTGAAGGAGCCTTCGTTGTCCTTCTGGGCTGCTGCCCCCACCCAACTGGAAACCCACAACAACAGCAGCAGCAAAATACACCTTTCTGGGGAGACGCACCCACTGTAAGGCTTTTCTTGTTTTGGGTTTGGGGTCTTTTTAAAAACATGCCTTAATCTGGACTTCTGGATCAGTTCTTGATTACAAGTGTTCAGCTCTGAAAGGCTTGGGGGAAGCAGGACGCATTGGTTGAGAGTTCAGAGAGAGCAAGTGAGGGCTGGAGACTCTGTGCATGCGCAGGAGTGCTCTGTGATGGCCTGGGATTCCGATTCAGAGAGTGAACCGGAGGAATCCCAGCCGGCACAGGAGTCCCCGCCTCCAGGGCCGGCTGAACTGGGGCAGGGCCTTGATTCTGAGGAGCCTGCACCTGTGCCGGATCCTCAGGAGCAGGCACCAGGTGAATCCATTCTGGCCCCAGAGGTGCTTGAGGACTCAGTGCCTACAGGTGAGTCTCCCCCGGGGCCCAGTAACCCTTCAGCCTCTCCTGAACTGCAGAGGCTTAGGGCAGAGAGGCGAAGGGAACTGGTTTCTCCCAGGAGGAGTGCTCGCCTTAAGGCCAGGAGAGGTGGGGCTCCTGGGGGCCGGGACCGCCCCTGGCCTTAGAGAAGATAAAGGCCAGTCAGGTCCCAGGTTGCGGGAGCAACGTCGTTGTTGAGTACCTGCTTCTGACCTTCCAGTGTTCCTGTTCCCCGCCCAGCTTCCTGCTTCTGATCTTCGAGTGTTCCTGTCCCCGCCCGGCTCCCTGCTTCGGACCTCGCCTCGCACCTTGTGAACTATTTCCAGGCTAGTGACTCAGGACTGAACTTTGACTACGGTAACAGTAACCTTCCCCCCGGGACCAGCACATGCTCTCTCTCTCACGCACACACACGCACACAAAAACATCCATTTCAATAGCTTTCTCACATCAGTTTCCAAGCATCCTGCAGCAGCTCCGGGTTCGGCAAAAGTGTGGTTGAGGGGACCGAAGATGAAACTGGACTGCGGTTCTAGATTCAGGTAGGTAACCGTGTTGGTCTGACGCAGTCAAAATAAATTAAAACATTGTCCAGTAGCACCGTAGAGACCAACTAAGTTTGTTCTGCATGCACCCTTGTTCAGATACGAACTGTGGTGGTGGTGATTTTTTTTTGGGGGGGGGAATCTCCCATTTGCACAGATGAATACCATAAACATAGGGGCCTCAATTTCCACCAGGACTGCTGAGTGAACAAAGGTTTAAAGTGCTCTCAGAGTATATGATTTTTGAAGCCATTATGTACCTTAACCTTCTCGTACGCTAGGTAGGCGTGCCATCCATACCTATTGTCAAAACTTTCTAGATTTAAAATACTAGTGTTTTCCAATATAATCCATTCTTTTAGCCACGCCAGACATTCTGCTTCATAGTATAATTTTAGATTTGGTAATGCCAGTCCTCCTCTCTCCCTTTTATCTGTTAATAGTTTATACTTTATGCGTGGAAGGGAAGTAGAGGGTGGTGGGTTTTATAATTAAGTGTATAATTACGTAGCTGTTGTAATTTAGATATTATATTTCATGTGAGGGAATCATTGGGAATTTTGGTTATTAGGTATATATGTTAAGTTTCAATAAAGATCTTTGGGGATTTTTTTTTAAAAAAAGTTTAAACTGCTCTCACCACGATCTTGGTCCATCTCAGACCCTCCCAATGCAATGTCTTATTTTTATTTTTCAAAACAAAAAATAAAAAACCCTTACACCTTAAGGTTGCATTCAAACATGACTTGACAGGCCTGCACAAAACGTTAATGATAATTTATTGGTATTTTTATAAGAGAGAACAGGGTCTTGGGGTTATTTTTCCGCCATGGGCTGGCTGGCCCTGTGCCAAAAACCAGCCCTGTGGTCCTGTTCGCAGGCTGTCAGGTGTAGTGTTTCGGTGTTTTCCGAGGACGAAATTCACTGACCCCTCCCGGCTACGCTAACGCAGCTTCTTCCTGAGGAATATTCTGAGAGAAACAAAATGGCGGACCGCCACGCCAACAGGGAGCCAGTTGATAGCGTGTCCACATGTGGCTTCCTTCTGGAGCGTTCCAGAACGGCAGCCAACCGCTGAAATGTTAGTGATTGTTGCTCTCTGCCCCCTCCCTGCACAAAAAAATGACGTAAAGCACGGTTTGGGTCCTTGCACCGCACTTCCTCCCCTCAAATGTTAGCCAAAGGTTTTGCTTTTTAAAGAAAAGCAATCCCAAAACTTTTGACCCAGGCACACATTAATGCTGCTGTTCAAACAAGCATGGACAAAAAAAATTGAGGGTCAGCTATGAGACTGTGTTGCCCCCCACCCTTTTAAGGCCTGGACTACACAACACACACAACAGCAACCACAGATATCTGACCGGGAGGCTCAGTTTAATGGACTTTGGCACAGGTAGGTAAGGAAAGGTAAAGGACCTCTGTGGACGGTTAAGTCCAGTCAGTCCGTCTCCACATCTGGGATGGGGAAAAATAAGGAAGGGTGGTGGCAATGCTTGCTTCATTTTGCTTTGTTGAGTCAACTACCTAATTTATATACCACTTCATGGCAAAAAAGGACTTCTAAGCAGTTTAAAAGTATGCAAACACAGGCATTAAAATACAAAAGACCTGTAATCAAAATATGTAATTAAAAATACACAGTAAAACAGCAAGAGCCATTGATTGAAATATGTGATAAAGCAATGTAATATGTTGTAATTTTCTGTGCTCTTCCCAGGGAGCCAGCTCAAGGTCTTATTTATAAAAATATTTGCACATCACTATATCATAAAATATATCAAAGCGGTTTACAACAATGTCTACATGTAATAAGCGCACGTTGAAAAAAATAAAAAATCACATTCTAACATTATAGCCACTACAACACGCCAGTGGCGCCTTTTGCCCCCACCCCTAAAAACACAAAAGCCCTATGCATAGACAACATCCCTCTAGATCAGTCACCAATTCTAGCCTGATCCAGAAAAGTCTTACAATCAGTTACCAATAACGACACTGTGAGGGGAGAGACTCCATCAGGCAAGGCCTTCTTCCACCTGCCTTGCTCCAACTTCTAATCTCTGCTTCTCAATTTGTATTGTATTATTTTATGTACTGTGCCGTTGTTATATCGATTATAGTTTAGAAATTATTTACTGTAACTGTTGAGTGGATTTCTCTTTAACTTTTATATGTTGATACTATTATTTTGTACTATTCTAATAATTGTTGAGGGTGGCGCTGTGGGTAAATGCCTCAGCGCCTAGGGCTTGCTGATCGAAAGGTCGACTGTTCGAATCCCCGCAGCGGGGTGCGCTCCCGTTGTTCGGTCCCAGCTCCTGCCCACCTAGCAGTTCGAAAGCACTCTTAAGTGCAAGTAGATAAATAGGGACCGCTTACTAGCGGGAAGGTAAATGGCGTTTCCGTGTGCGGCTGTGGCTCGCCAGAGCAGCGATGTCACGCTGGCCACGTGACCCGGAAGTGTCTCCGGACAGCGCTGGCCCCCAGCCTCTAGAGTGAGATGGGCGCACAACCCTAGAGTCTGTCAAGACTGGCCCGTACGGGGAGGGGTACCTTTACCCCACACAATTGCACTCATTTCACACGCTAGCAAGGTTATGCTTAAAATTCTACAAGGAAGGCTCAAGCAGTATGTGGACCGAGAACTCCCAGAAGTGCAAGCTGGATTTCGAAGGGGCAGAGGAACCAGAGACCAAATTGCAAACATGCGCTGGATTATGGAGAAAGCTAGAGAGTTCCAGAAAGACATCTACTTCTGCTTCATTGACTATGCAAAAGCCTTTGACTGTGTCGACCACAGCAAACTATGGCAAGTTCTTAAAGAAATGGGAGTGCCTGATCACCTCATCTGTCTCCTGAGAAATCTCTATGTGGGACAAGACGCTACAGTTAGAACTGGATATGGAACAACTGATTGGTTCAAAATTGGGAAAGGAGTACGGCAAGGCTGTATTTTGTCTCCCTGCTTATTTAACTTATATGCAGAATACATCATGTGAAAGGCTGGGCTGGATGAATCCCTAGCCGGAATTAAGATTGCTGGAAGAAATATCAACAACCTCAGATATGCAGATGACACAACCTTGATGGCAGAAAGTGAGGAGGAATTAAAGAACCTTTTAATGAGGGTGAAAGAGGAGAGCGCAAAATATGGTCTGAAGCTCAACATCAAAAAAACGAAGATCATGGCCACTGGTCCCATCACCTCCTGGCAAATAGAAGGGGAAGAAATGGAGGCAGTGAGAGATTTTACTTTCTTGGGCTCCATGATCACTGCAGATGGTGACAGCAGCCACGAAATTAAAAGACGCCTGCTTCTTGGGAGAAGGGCAATGACAGGCCTAGACAGCATCTTGAGAAGTAGAGACGTCAAAACCTCTGAAGATGGTTTGGAAACTTCAACCGGTGCAGAATTCAGTGGCCTGGTTGCTCACCAACACAAGATGGCTTGAGCACTGAACCTGGCCCGACTGCACTAGTTGCTAATTAGTTTCTGGGGCCAATACAAAGTGCTGTTTTTGACCTATAAAGCCTTAAACAGGGACCACCTCTCCCCATATGAACATACCCAGACTCTGCAATCACCACCTGATTCCCTTCTTTGTGTGCCTCCTCTGTGAGAGGCCTGGAGGGTGGCAACATGAGAACGGGGCCTTTTCTGCAGTGGCTCCCTGTTTGTGGAACGCTCCCCCACGGAGGCTCGCCTGGTGCTTTCATTACATATCTTTAGGTGCCAGGCAAAAACATCCCTCTGTACCAAGCCTTTGGCCTTTAACTCTGTGGCCTTTTAGAAGTGGGTGGGATATTTAGACCTCTTGGTCTAATGCAGGGTTCCCCAGACTTGGGTCTCCAGCTGGTTTTGGACTACAGTTCCC